TTCTCGCATATTATGCATACTTGGGGCAAAATATTTGGTGATCTATCCTTCATGTCACTATTTTGGGGACCATCATTGTCAAGTGATGAGTGTAAAAGCTTCTTTGGTGGAACAGTCTGCAACTTCACAACCAATTAAGATTTCACTGCCTCATGTTCTCTTTTCCTCCACTTTTTGCAACTTGTTTTAATCACAAAGTCTTTTATAGCAGTTCTCATGGTAGTGCCAGTCGAGTTCCCAGTGCCTCCTGAGGTCCCCATTTAATTTTTATGTGGGGCCTTATTTTTTCAAAATTAAGTTGGGGGTGGGAAAGAAAAAAAATTTTCAAACCATATTTCTTAATAATAACAAATTTTCCCCTATCTATGTCTACTATAAAGGGGGCACAAATTTCACAATTTCACCAATTCCTGCTTTTTGGGGGCCACCTGTTGCAAATTTTCTGACCCTATAAATTGAGGCTCAGGCCAATTTTCCCAATGTACTAGCAAAATGTTTATGGTCATTTTTTGTCGGGGGAGGGGGGATGGAAGGATGCCGATGCACACAACCCCTCAGAAACAGCTTTTTCAACCCCCCTCAGAAACTCTCGTATTATAATTAAGTGGTGGCCCCATCTTCGCTAGTAAACAAGTCCGATTTATGACAGATTTCTGGTCTTTGAGCTTCGCCAATTTCTCATGACAAGCAACAAATCTCTTCAGACGCTTCTCTGTGACCTTTAGAAGTGATTGTGAAACATCCTCAAAATGAATACAACATTTATTCAATTTTAAATGTTTGAGTGACCAACTTGTTTCAGCCGCCATATTGCTTTTATCCGCGCGTGGCAGCTATGTTGCCATGGAAACACGCGCGATTTCAAGATGGCGTAAACGATTCATTGATCGAATATTATCAAAGTTTCAAGTCTATTTTCTACCTATTGTGCACGCTAGTGAACGGGGGCTTTGTATTTCATGAACAAGGAGACCAATATGCAATGTGTTATGGCGGAATTTTTTAGCGTCGCGACATGTGCAACGAACTTGAAAGATATAGCAGATATGTGACGGCCTATAGGATTAGCCCAAGCTAACCCTTCCATCGTAGTTATTATTATTATTATTAAAACAAAACACTGAAACACTTCTGCACGTAGTAGCTGGTTGCCAATCGTATCTAGAACGATTCACGTGGAGACATGACTCCGTTGTAAACTTTCTCGCTACAAACCTGCAGACCGTAAGCGGCTCACATTTTTACGTGGATCTTCCAGGGTACAAAAGTCCATCAATCATCATTGGTGACACCTACCGTCCAGATTTGCTTCTTTCAACCTCAACCGGAACACTCTATATTGTTGAACTTACAGTTGGCTTCGAATCAAATCTTCAAAAAAACGTTGAGCGTAAAATGAACATTTCAACTCAGTAAAATTTGTAAATCTTTCGATTAGTTCTCTTGGTGTTTTCAGTAAAGAATGTTGTACTTTCATAGAAATGCTTAATGATTTTGGTTTTCAAAAGCAACATCAGAATTACTGTATTAGAAGAATGGCGACGATTGCAATCCGAACAACGTATTATATATTTTGTTGTCGAAACAAGGAATGGATGAATCCGGAACTGTTAAGTGTTTAAACGTTGTACTGTCATTTTGTTATCTTAATACTATAATTTTTGCATATATAATCGGTTATTTAAGTAGCCAGTTGTAAATTACCTGATATAAGTGAGATTTGCAATTGTATATACTGTATATAAGCTAAATATCCATTTAATAAATTATCCATTCATTATTATTATTATTATTATTACCTGCTTAACTGATACTTGCTGTAAGAAGATGATTAAAGTATGGCACGAAATTGTCACTCGAATGCCCAGCAATAAACTGTAGTATATGCTTTGCTAGGAGAGCGTTAATTTTAAGTTTAGGAAATAATTCAAATCTAAAGCGCTGGAACATTCGTGACTCCGCCAACTGTGAGTTGTGCAACAAGTTACAAACTCAGCTACACGTTTTTTCCAACTGCAAGGTAGCCCTAGAACAACAACGCTATACTTGGCGGCATGACTCGATTCTGATGACTATTATTCATCACTTAAAAATCGCAGTTGGTGCAGATCTTCGACTGTTTGCGGACTGTCCTAATTCCGGTACGACGTATACTTCAACTTTATTTCGAACGCTAAGACCTGATATAGTGGTGGATTTTAAGGGTTCTGTATATGTGGTTGAATTAACTGTTCCCTGCGAAACCAATTGTACGTAGGCTAAACGTCGCAAGAAAGAAAGATACAGACATCTAAGATCTGAGCTGATCACGGCGTGTCATGCGTTTGAAGTTATTACACTTGAAGTAACCACTCTAGGTTTTGTGTCGAAAGATATTGACAGATTTCGTAGATTATTACGAACACTTGAAATGAACGACGAACGTATTATTAAAAAATGTATGGAGGTAGCTCTGAGAGCAACATTCTACATTTACTGCAAAAGAAACAAGCCCTGGAATAACCCAGACTTACTGAATTTTTATTAGCTACTATTGATATAAAGTGTAGAGAATGGAATCTGTCTAATATAGTGAACTGTTTCTCTATTTTCCTGATTTAATTGAAAGTCTAATTATGTGATATTTGTAAAAGAATTATCATATTATTAATAAAAATTTCTGTTGTTTTAAAAAAAAATTTATTATTATCAGACATGAATCATCAGACATGAGTCAGGTAGCTGCCAAGAGGCGCTCCTAGAAAGCCTTGCACTCGATCACGTTGAGCTGTGTCCTTCGTATTTCAGCTTATCTCTCAGCTGCACAGCAAGTAAGAATGATTATCACACACCCGTACTTACCCCCCGCCCCCCTACTTACATTTAAAATGTTCTATCTTTTCCCCCAGATTCGTGCAACAAGACGACAAGCAAGTGTTTGAACACGATCGGAATTTACAAATGTCAGTGCAATTCGGGCTACGAAGGGAAGCAGTGTAAAGATAGGAACGAATGCAAGAACAGCCCATGTGTCAATGATGGATCTTGTTTAAACACCGATGGCGATTATACGTGTCTTTGTCACAATGGTTTTACAAGTATGTTATTTGTGATTTATGAATCATTATTTAATAGTTATTCTGTGAACTCGAGTCGTGTACGAGCTGATATTTGCCTATATCATCCAAATATCACGAGAGTGGGTAGATCTAGAGGATAGTGGCCATTTTGCCCTTCATTACAATTACTATAAAGTTTCTTTCAAAACTTTGCATTAAAAGGGTACTTGACACAGAGATGATTGGCTATCACTGTTTCAATTTTACAGAAAAACCTTCTTACGAAGTGTAGACCCTAAGCAACCAAAAAGGTCAAATTTTCACTTTGATCTATCATTGAAATTTTCCCAGGGGAGGTGCATGATTTTCAGGGGAGGTGCAAAATTTCTCAGGGAAGGTGCGCACCTCCCCTCAAAATCCGGCCTTGATCCTAATCATAATCTTGATCCTAATCCTTTAAAATAGTAACTGTTTCTAAATTGTGACTCATACACGCGCAAAAATCTCACATCTTGTAGCAAGTCTGCCAACAAGCCGTCAACAAGTTGTGTTTTCGCACTGCTTGTCCCAAGTTGTCAACAACTTGTAACAACCTTGTTGATATTATCAGACTTGTTGCAAGGTTGTTCCAACAAATCCGATGCAGTCATGATATAACAATTTTGTTACAACCTTGTGTCGTCGACCTTGTGACATTCTTGTTATATCATGACTGTATCAGACTTGTTAGAACAGCATTGTAACAAGCCTGATAATGCCATCAGTTTTGTTACAAGTTGTTAACAGCTTGTTCCAAACTTTGTTGCAACAACTGGGAACAAGCAGTGCGAACACAACTGATCGACAGCTTGTGAACAGATTTGTAACAACTTGTTTGCTGACCTGTAACAACTTGTTTGCTGACCTGTAACAACTTGTGCGTTTTTACGTGTGTAGGTCATACAGTACCGTCCAACGGAAACTATACATCGAGTATCGAGCGCGTTTCGCGTTCGAGCGAGAAACATTCGAGCGAGTGTCGAGCGGCTCGCTTCTCGAATCGCGTTATCTATCGAGTTTCGCGAAACGCGATTCGAGTCGTCGCGATGCGAATTGAAGAAATTTTTGAGAAACGAGATTCGAGTATCGAGTATTCGCGAAGTGCATGATTTATAAATGCGTTATTAAGAACTGCGATGCCACTGTGGCACGTTTAATTGTATTTATTTCAGAACCATCTTGAGAGATATGAAAAACTAGTTTCACATTCTTTTTTCATATTCATACAGTTCAGATTAATTGTATATACCCATGCACGTGTTCCGTTTATATACTGTAAGAGTAAATGTCGTGTGAACGATTTAAAACAGCAGTTTGCCGTCCTTTACATACTTTACGTCCTTTACTTTTATTGTTTTAAGTTTTTAATTGGCGAGTTTGTATATATTAACGTTTACAACAACAAAGCGCAAAGATGAGGACTCTGTCTCTGACGAGATTTGCGATAAATTCATCATCGCCAACGGGCCGGAAATAAAACAGAAATATTTTATATACAGAATGACATACCTATAGTATAATACGCGCCAGAGACAAAGAAGGCTACTTGCTGTCAGACATAATGCTTGTACTTCGTTCTTTTAAACTACTACCAGTCTTCTCATCCCATTGATTAAACAGCAAATTAAAATATACGCATACCATAACGGCGTAGTTTCTCTCATTTCACATGTTTCCCACAGCCTGCCATCAGAAACAAAGAAACATGCACAAACGTATATTTCATCCGGTCGATTTGCATTTTAAAACCGTGTCAAATAACTGGCATGCAAATGGAGAAAATGTAACACTTGCTTTACTGTATGTGACAATAATATTGTAGTAGCTTCTTCTCTGTTGATACTAAAAAAAACATGTCTTCATTTCGGACAAGGCGCGTATTTTGATCGGGTGTAAAACAGCACGCGTCATATTTTAGTTTTATGTTGTTGATATTGTCATACTTTATTTTTGTTGTCATACTTTATTTTTAGTTCATATTGTTATTAATCGATTATTAATGGATCATTAAGGTTGATACAGGCTTTTGTCTGTTTTGTTATTGAGTAATTAAAATAATTTCACTTCCTCAAGGCAAAGCATTCATTCTGTTTGAATCTTTAAATTAAAACACGTGTATCTGTGTTTTACTGCTTCATTGACATGGCGTTTCAACTCTGCGAGCATCGACAACTGGACAAGCTGTCACACTTTCTATTAAAAAGGTTTCTTTATAAATTATCTGGCTTTGAAATATTGAAAGAATTACCGCGATTCATGCCATTTTCGAATTTCGACGCTTCGCTAAGCCTAAGGTGAAACTTTGAATAATTTACATATGTACCGACAGTGCTGCGAGACATCTACTTATAAAACGTAAAAGCAAAACAGCGTCTTAAAACCATATCTTGTGCCTCAATCGTTTAGAAAAAAACAAGGTAAGACTTCCATACGCCGACATGTATGTTGAATAACTAGCCTTTATGTTTTTCGCTGCCATGAAGTTTTTGCTCATCAGCGATTTATCGAGTGCGATTCGCGAAGCGCGTTTCGCGATTACGCGAAAGCAGTAAACAAATTATTCGAGCGAGTCATTACGCGTAACGAGCGAGAGGTCGCGATAGCGCCCCTCGCAAGGTTTCGCGTCGCGCTTCTCGCTCGAACATTCTCGAAACTCGCTCGAAAAAAATGTATAGTTTCCGTTGGAAGGTACTGTAATTTATCATAAGTTCGTATGTCATATTTATGCTATAATAATATACATAAAGATATTACTCGACTCTGATTGGTTGATTTCAGTGCAGTTAATCCCAAACAGCAGTGCAATTTTCTGTTATCACAGTGCAATTTTCTGTAATCACAGTGCAATTTTCTGTAATCACAGTGCAACCTGTATCTATATTATTTATAACTTACCCGAGTATTATCATCACTGAGGGTAATATTTCGCCGAATCCCCCGAGCGGAAGGTCTATAAATGATATATTATACCGAAAATTAAAAGCCTCCAAGTTGAGAATTAAAAACTTGACACATACCTTCGTGAATACGATGTTTTATTTTCGGATTAACGCAAGTGTCGTCGCTTTTCTTTCAAATCACATATCGTTTGGAATATTAATGACAAAGCCCCAGGTTTTAGGTTTGAAAAAGCCCCGGGTTTTAGGTTTAAAATTGAATTATTCATCACTCATTAATACTATTTATGTTTTGTCGGCCATCTTGTTGTCATGCGTGTTGTCCCGCGTGGTGTACGCGAATAATGTTACACCCCATGTTCCCCGGGGAACATGGGGTGGAACATTGTCAAAAGGAACGCAGACTCGCTAATTTATGACGTAAGGCGTGATATCGCGATTAATTTCATGCTCACGTGGCACAAACTAAGCTTCCTGATTGGACAATTTGAATTTGAGGTATAATATAAAGTAAAAGTTGCCTTCGCGTGGAAAATATGGCTTTTATCTTTATTTTTAAATGGAAAAGCATTTACCTTAAACAAGACTAACAAAAAATACACAGTTGAGTGGAATTTTCAAGCTGTTAGCGTTGTATAATGTGATAAAACAAAGCCAGGAAAACTTTGCCAGTGGAATATTCGCTATAAACGCGTAAGTTAAAACTACAACTGTCTCGAACATTTTTATGTAAATTATTAATAAGTAATAGCATGGTTTCTCGTGAAATTTGGATAAACATGCACTCGTGAGTTTTTCAAAGACCTCAAATACTACTCGTCCTTCGGACTCGTGCTATTTTGAGGTCTTTGAAAAACTCACTCGTGCATGTTATATCCAAATTGCACTCGAAACCGTGCTATTACCTATACTAAACAGCTTAGTCCATGTCACAAAGCAAACTAACTTTTATTTTATTTAGGGTGGTCAGGAACTATGTACACAAAACTCAACGTGCAAACTGGAATAAGGATTAAATCCATCTTGCCATCTCTGCAGTTGAGAAGAAAGAACTGTCAATACGAAAGCTGCAACTGCCTACAGGGTACCAAAGGATGTATTAAATCGCCGAGTCAATGGTAGGCTAAAAAATTTATCACTTTGCGGTGAATTTTGGTCAAAGTCAATGCCTGGCGAGGATTGGATGACTTGTTCACAATGCAAACAATGGTGTCACGAAGAATGCTGTACTGTTACCGCAGCCAGTGTGACCTGTGTGTGTGACATTGAACTTCAAAATGATTTGAAACATGTATTTTATAATTAATTCTGAAGTTCTATTAAAATAAGTATATATTATATTGACTTTATTTTTAATTTTTTAGCTCTGTCTCATTTTGCCCCATTGTGCCGGGGCAAAATGAGACAATTACCACTGTTAGGTTTTCCCCGATTTATCACAAATAAATAATTTCAAACATTTTTTTTTGCTTTACATAACTTGCTGTGAGTCAACCTCACATACCCAAGTCAAAAAGAAAATTCAAATTGCTATGCCTTCCATTCTACAACAATAAATGTCCTTAGGTGTCTCATTTTGCCCTGCATTACCCTAAATTCTTATTCAAATATGTTCAGCTTGTTAAAGAATTTGTTTCTTTTAGGGGGGTTTTCCTGTTTGTTTGAAAGTCAAACTGTCAAACTATATATGTTTTCGCTCATCAATGCCTGTGTCTGATTTGATCAGGGTCGCAACGCAATTCTTTGTGTAAACGAGGGGTGATATCACCGGTCAACAGGGTGGAGATACTCTTGCGGCAGATAGCCAACATCACATGCATGATGATTCATGTTTAAATGCTACGCTTCTGACCACAGAGACCAGCATAACGAGAGAGAGAGAAAGTGTGTGATATTGAATCTCGTCGTCGTGGAGTAATAAACTTCAATAACATTCTAAAAAAAATAAGGGGATATTTGGGTTTTGTAAATGAAAATCTCAAATTCATTAATAATTTTGCCAACCATATTGCTTTATTTTGTTCACATGATAATACTGGGTACCTGTAATGATATCATTTCAAATCCTCCAATTCGGACTGGATTACATTTCAAGTCCGCGCATTTTGATCCAGTCCTTGAACTTGATCAAATTGCGCAGACTTGAAATGTAGTCCAGTCCTTATAGTCAGATTTGAAATATTACATCTCGAGTGGGCATTTTATACATTTTTGACCTAACGAAGAGCATCTGTGAAAATTCAACTATAGACCCTATCGCAGGGATTGAACCTGTGGTCCTGCGATTCCGTCGTAGCGCTCTACATGCTTTGCGGTTAAAGGTGGACAATTGGACTGTGTAGCTCCGTTGATTAGAGTACAAGTACTGTACTGCCCCGGTTCGATTCCTGCCAACGGGCCCATAGTTCCATTTCTCGCTCCTACTCCTGATTACTTCTAAAAGGTATAAAATTTACACTCGAAATGTCCATCTACAAAAACCCTCCAAAAATAAATTATCGACCTTAGACGTTTTCTGTGATGTTTGTCGAAGTTAGGTTAACACTTGTACAATCGAATTTCTATGATAGAGAGGTTCAGATTTGACTTCCACTGCCGCTACCATTAAGGGACCATTAACCAATCAGATGCTCTTGATATATCCGATTAACAGGGACGTAGCGACCTGGGGGTAGGCTTCTACAGATTATGTTACGAAAATGCTGAAATTGTGCTCTAAAAATGCTAAAAAGTTGCTCAAAAGTTGCTCGAAAATTGAATAAGTTGCTCAAAAGTTGCTCGAAAATTGAACAAGTTGCTCAAAAGTTGCTCGAAAAGTGAAAAAAAGTTGTTCCTAAAATGTCAAACGTTTCTCGTAACGAACAAGACATACATGACGCTTCTCTCAGCATTAGCATTTCACCACTTTTTTTTCATCATAAATATTGTGGGGTCATAAACAAATCGCTTTTAATTGTTTACAAGTGAAAATAATATTTAATTTTGTGTATGATATACTGAAATACAATTGAATTCAATTAATATTCCTATTCTAGTCATATTCTGTGATAGCAGGTCGCGAAATTAATGAGGTAACTTATTTCTCAGCATTTTTCAGTAAACTTTTCTTCGGTTTGGAACATACTGCAGCTATGAATAATCTATAGACTCTATTTCCCATATGTATTTATAATAGTGTATTACTATTAGGCACATGAACTCTCGTGATACTTTCAAACTGCACCATTGTTGGGTTTGGTAAGCAGTCATAAACTGAACTTGCAAACTGGTCTGAGCTGCCAGCAATTAGCAAATTAATGTTGACTGCCATAGGATCTCCCAAACTGTAGAAGTAATGGTAAGCTAAAAAGTTTGCCAAATGGTCAAGGATAAGGAAAATATTTTGGAGCCTTGTCGTGCTATTCTTTCATATGACCAAGAAAACGAGCTTGAAGAGAATATGGATCAATAATGGATTCAAGGCTATCAAGCATTAACCTGAGTATCAGGCCCTTATGTTTTCATTCGCCAGGATTAATTGGCGGCGGCGAATGAAGGAGGGCCTGAACAATTCTTTACCGCGGCGCATGTAAAAAGCCAGATTCTGGCTTTTTCGTCTGATTGGCCGATTAGACAAACGATTTTTTAAATCTGTCATTTGATTGGCTGGTGCTAATTAGATTATACTATTGTTGTTGATATATTTTATTTATAACGATCACAACTACAATTATAGCCGGCCCACTAAATGGCTGAATTTAAATTAAAACTGCAGTAAAATTCAGAGAGTAAAATTAGAAAATAATCGCAAATTAGCGAAATATATTGCAAATGTAACTTATATTAAATCGCCATCAGATTGCACTATCGACTAACTGACGTATAGTTATAAGTTATAAAGTATACTTAATATATATATACTTTATAATTTATATACGTCAGTTTGTTGATAAATACGGTATTAAAGCGCCATGTATTAAAAGCTCATTGTAGTCACTGAAACCTCTGCGGAGTAGAGAGCAACCAGGTGGCGATTTAATATAAGCTACATTTGCAATATATTTCGCTAATTTGTGATTATTTTTGTTAATTTTATAAGTTCATTGCAGTTTTAATTTAAATTCAGCCGTTTAGTGGACTGCCTATGCTATAATTAGATTGTTGTTGGCGTTGTGTCAAATTTAAATTTTTTCTCCTGCGACATTTTCATTGGATACTAAATATAAACTTTGCTGTGGGTGGAAAGCGATCAGGTTAAGTTTTCTGTCAGGCTCTATTTGTAAAATAGAGCCTGATACTCAGGTTAATCAAGCATTTCATTATCTTTCAAATAAATAAAATTAGCAACATGGTCTATATTGCCAGAAATTTCCACAAATTATGCATTTCCTGGAGGAAGTTGCTTGAAGTTGTTGATATCATAAAAAGTTGCTTCAAATGCAAAAAGTTGCCAAAAAGTTGCCGAGCATAATCTGTAGAAGCCTATCTGGGGGGGAAGGGGGGGGGAGGCGAATCTCTCCAACTGTGAATCTCAAGTAAAATTCAAGTTAAAATTTTGAGATTTTCAGGTAAAATTTGCGTAATAAAGTCGAAATTTTTGTAAAATACAGTCAATTTAGATCCAATTCGTTTGCGAATTTGGTTTAGAAAACGCCAGAAATGCAGTCCTGGATCTTGAAAAAGTTTTCTGGGGGAGGACCACCAGACCCCCTCTTCTTCAGAAACTTAATATGACAGTGGAAATCAATGGGAAAAACTCCAACATGAGCTCCACCTTTGAATTTACTATATGAGTAAATTCTTAAACACGTCCGAATTTATCATTATGATAAATTCGCGGCACATTTTGAATTTATCAATAGAGTTAATCATAAAACCACAAGCACTAGACAAGACTTCTTGTTATAAATGTAATGGCACTAAAAGGGAGGCTGGTCGCGCAGGAGTGGGGAGTTTTTCATTTTTTTAAGAAAATAGTTTTTTTTTAAAGTTTTAAAAGAGTTTTAAAAAGCAAAAAAAGTTTAAAAAGTTAGATTTTTAAAAAAGTTTAAAAAATTTAAAAAGGTTAGTGGTTAGGGGTTACTGGTTAGGGGTTAGTGGTTAGGGTTGGGGTTAGGGTTAGTGTTAGGTGCCGCGAATTATTATTATGATAAATTCAAAATGTGCCGCGAGTTTATCATAATGATAAATTTGGACGTGTTTAAGAATTTACTCATATAGTAAATTCAAAGGTGGAGCTCATGCTGAAAAATTCTCTATTGTAATTAATGCATTTCAGGTAAAATTTTAAGATTTAAGTTCAAATTTCAGGTAAAATCCTCCGACTCCCCCCCCCCCAACTTCAGATGCTTTGCTACGTCCCTGCCGGTTAACCAATAATATGGGTACTATGCCAGTGAGTGGTATAGTGGTAGCTGTATAGTGGAAATGAAATCTGAACCTCGCTATTATATACGGATGACGACAGGTACGGATGACGACAGGTATTAGAGAGGTATCAGTTGTTTTTAACGATTTGTGCTATCAACCTAGAGCAATTTACTAGTTAAGGCATATCTACAGAATACGACTAGTCGTGCACGATTCTTATCTGGGCGTATGTATTCGAATAAAATATTATTTATTTGCAGATGATATTCACGAACGAATCGTGAATGATAAGTTAAAAATGTAAACAAATAATATAAACATATTAATAATATTCAGCTTAAAATCCTGTTGATTTCTTACTCACCTGGGATGGCTTCCTAACACCAGCTTTGATCTCTTGAGGTCTCCTCGCCTACCACTGGTTTATACTTGTCTTGTAAATAGCTTAACAGTTTTTGAGGGTTTTTTGGTAAACAAACCAGTATTATTTAATTGGAAGCTAACAAACTAACACTAAATATAAATAAATTTAATATGTTATCTTTCGTCCATATCAGAAAAAAATAAATTGTATTCCACAAGTTATGGATTATGATCATAACAACTTGGACTTAACACAGCATCGCGAAAAGGATTCAGTATAAGGGCTAAAAAATTCTGCAAAACACCCCGTTTGGTAAAATTATAACCCAAATTTAAGACATATAGCTCCTGCCGAGGAAACTGATGTTTTAGCCGGTGAAGTAAATACTGGTGGATATCCGCAGCTAGCAGCGGTCTGCCACCAACGTTTCTATAGCGCATGCTCTCTTTATCATCTGATGGAGTGCAAGCTGTGGTGTTCTGATAAGAATAAAAGGGTGGTAAGGCAAAGAACTTTCCACAGGATGAGGATTCACGTACTAACCAGTATATTGCTCGTATCAGTCTTCGAAGGCCTTCGAAGAATTACATTTTCCGTTCAGGTGAGTCCCTACTACTACTAGATCAGTGGGTCTTTACGGAGAAAATTAAATTTCTCCTTCGTACCTTCTCCGACTGATATTTACAATAGTGGTGCATATTATGAATTCTTACTACTACACAATACTATAAGTTAGTAAATATCAAAATTGTAACTTAATTGTTTTAAGTATACAGACTAGCGAAATGTATAACACAACGAATGCATGTTTTCTGAAAACTGTTCCTGATGACCAGTTAATGTTTCTAGTAAAGTTCCAATTGGACGACCAGAGTTTCAGAACTCGATATTTTGGATGCTGCCGATGCTGACCTTGCTTGTCTAAAGCCTGGTTTACACTAATGAAATTTTCTGTGATCACAGTAGTAATTTTGCATGGGTAAATTCTAAGTTTTGAAGGATTTGTGAGAAGTGTTTGAGGAAACTGACACAGTGTTTATTTCAGTTCCATGAAATATTTCTTACAAATCCTTCAAAACGTAGAATTTACCCATGCAAAATTACTACTGTTATCACAGAAACTTTGATTGTATCAACCAGACTTAAAGCCCATTTTCCACTAGGTGAACTTGTTGGCGCGAATAGTAAAAAGTAGGAGCTGCATGATTCAACTTTTTCGTGGCGAACTTTCTCGATGACCAATCACATTACCAAGATTTGTTTTTCGCTTCGCGCGAACAAATTCGTCTATTTGAATATTTGCTTTAGGTCGTCGTCGGAGTAAATGAAGCAAAATTAATTTTCTCCGGCAGCTATATGCCCTGCCGGGGAAATTTAATTTAGCTTATATAAAAAAAACACAAGAACAAACATTCACACTCCACAAGATTATCAAATTTATCAGTTATTTAGAACTTAACGCTATTTAAGACATCACAACACGTTCAAGTTCAATGTATTTCACACTATTTAACGTATACATTACATTATAGACGAGATATTCATAATATAAATTCGGTGTAAATACATATAAAAAAGTTTTAAATTAAGATATTCAAATTGTGCACGGTGGACAAAGTATAACATAAGCTTTCGAATTGACCAGTGCATGACCACCGTCTATGCTTTTGATTTAATAATTAGGTACATTTTTGAGCTAATTGTATATATCTCATAACTGATTTGGATTTTGCAGTCGATATATTGAACTCTTGGTAAAAAGAAAAGAAACAAAAGCAGCAAAGAAAATTAACATAACATACACATCAATGTAGCTATTTTTTTAATTAACTTAATCATTAATTAATTACTTAATTCATTTGTTTAACTAATCGATTGAGGCATCAAATAAATCGATTGAAATTCCCAATTTAGCGAAGGGTTACTGTTTTGATTTGACAGTAAATCTACTTTCTACTGTCTTTTAAAATCGCTAGACTTGTTCAAGGCTAGTTTCCACTCGGAAAATTATCCGTGGATTGGAACGCGGACAAAAAAATTTTTCTTTGACTTTTTTTCTTTGTCTTGTTAGTTGTGAGCTTTGGGTTGGAACATTAGACTTTAACACAAAGAAAAATTTCCTTGTCCGTTCCAATCCACGGATAGTTTTCCTGAGTGGAAACTAGCCTAAGTCAGGTTAAGTACAAGATTTTCTATTCCTGGGAATTTAAAATAGCTTCTAATCGTATGAGTTAAAAGACAATAAAACTTTCTGGTCATTGGATTGTGGCTGGATGACATTGTTAGAGTAAATTATGCAAAACACCGTTTCTTTGCACAAACAACGTTTCAATTATCATTTGCATTTCTAGTCATTAATCCTCGTACTGCATCAAGGAATTCGTGCCAATATTCTTCAACAAAACGCCTTACATTGAAACGAAATCGCTCATTACGTCGAATTATTTTATTTTATCCTTCCAATCATGTGTTGGGGAAAGTTTACTGCGACAATATGGCCCGAACAGCGATTATTCTAACTCTCTCTTTCGCCTGGGACATATAGCTACGCTTCAGGAATTTATACGCTGAGCACGTTGACATTAGAATGGAGAATTGCCAGCTTAGAAAATTCTGTAAGCGTTCATGGGCAAGATTTGGACACAAATTGACGACATGATGCGGTTCTGACACTATACTGGGAACGGAAAAGTTAATATACAACGTTGTCTATTAACCTGACTTCGCTTGCAAGAACTGGATTTTTAAGCAAAGTTTCCATATATATTTCTACTACAGTATTGGGTATGGTCACTTGTGGCAATTTGGTATTTAGACATGGTTTTATTGGCTGTGTTTTGGTTGAAAGTATGTTTATGACCATGAGTGAAATTCAAAATGTGTCTGCTTTGGAAATACGTCCTTCTGTTGAAAATATGCAGGCGGTCAGGTAAGAGCGTGCTTTTCATTTCTATTGTAAGTTAAAATTAATTTTGATGTTACATGGTAGTGTCACAATAATTTGCGACCGTGCATTTTTCAGTATATAACCTGAGGTCGAATTTCCGAGTCAGTTTCTTTAAGCTAACTCAAGCCAATTTTTTTATTCCAGAGAAATGGACGTTTTTATGCACCACATTATAATTATGTGCAATTTTTTCAAAGTATTCGATGGGTTTCTTCGCATAATTGACAAAAATTCCGTCGAAATTAAATTTAAACCCAACAAATTAAATTCAATGCAAATTCAACGTCTAAAACAGCCATGGCCCTATCTGTTTTGGAAAACAATGCTTTCAGTAGCAAAACTGGATCAATAAGGGACTTACTGGACCTCTTGGGAGAACAGTTCAAAATTCATTGAATAATCTAGTATCAGGAAGGTTAGTTTAGCTTTCCTCCTGTAGTAACTCTGGACTGACTCAATAAATCTGGCCCTAACTGCACATTTAGCGAGAACAGTTTAAACAACGACAATTTATTTAAACATAACACGTGCTGAATTGTGATTGGAAGTTTGTGTGACGTATATTTCCGTGCTTTTTTCCTGCAGTAGATCATGGCTCTCGACCAATGGAAGGATATGATTGGACAAGACTGCCAAGAAAGGTATGTCTGTTTACGCGCACATACACGTTGTCCACAATAAATTTTGGCAGTATTCTAGAATGTTTATCCCTACTTATAATGCAGCGGATTAAACAGTGAATAAATAAAAATCTACTTCGGCACATGACTGTATTCAAGAACTGTCAAAATAATTGTAGTTCAAAGTGACGCAACGAAATTTAAAACCTTTTTTATGATTGGAAGGTAACGAAAAATCAAACCGATACCTTGCCAAACTCTCTGATAGCTTGCTTCGTCCTTGAGATATTTAACAATTTTTGATATTCAAATTTATTCTCACGATGACGTAACATAGTAGTACGGGAAGGAAGACAGCTGCCCCTCCCGCCTCGTACGCTTATGATCATGACTTTCTGAAAAAAACTTCATGAAAGATCTTGGGATGTCGTGCTTCGAAATAGAACCGTGCGTACGTGTTATATGTGTCCAGGGCCCGGGGCAAATCTTCTCTGGGGGGCCCATGACATCTTATTATTCAAGCTAGACCCAAGTCAATCACCCAACTAGAACTTCGCTAGACTACATGTGGAGCTACTTAAAGGGCCCTCAATTTTAAAAATGCTCCGACCAATTTAAAGAACCTACTGAATTTTAGGCTCTTTTTTATTAAGGTGGGGTCCATCTGTCCCCGCCTTTCGGCGGCCCTGTATTTGTCAACATACCACATATATTGTCGTCAAATTTTAATCAGTAATTTAGGCTATAAGAGTTCTAAACGTGTTTTTTTTTACAAAGCTTCAACTATATGTGATGTATATTTTCAACAATGGAGCAGACACAAATTTTATCTTTCAAAAGTAGAAAGTGTAGATTAATTTATAAAGTCAACATCAGTTTTAATGTATTTCGATTATAGTGGCTAATGACGTTACATAATTATTGTTGATTACATTAATTAACAATATAAACATTATCCTGACTGAAGTTAGTCAAATAATTATCACTTATTTACTGAGACGGAGGAAAACAGTGTGTTTTGTGGACCCGACGACGACGGTCGAGGGTCCACAAAACACACTGCTTCCCACCGTCTCAGTAAATAAGTGTTCCATTATATATCAATAGTCAAAGAAACAACAAAGTTTAAATTACTAGGTATGTCCGAAGGTCGCATCTTTACGTGATGACGCACGTGATTTTTTTTCGTTATTCGCCGGTCGACAACGTATTGTTTCCCTCTCGCGTTGTTGCGAGGGAGACAGTCTAATTTCGTCACTTTCACGTGATATGCTCTCGACCAATAAAACACTAGAAAAATGCGACTTTGACTATTGGTATATAATAATGTCAGTTATAGCAGATAAATTAAGATAAACATCATTTATATAATGATATATTGACACTACAATAACACTAAAGCCACTTCTCAGAGGAATCGATATCCCATAGCGCTGATGAGTAAATGTCTTGCGCTCGATAAAAATGCTTTTAAATATTGTTCATCAATCAAATGGCAAAGATTGTGAAACTGACGAAAAATACCGTCGACTTTTTGGACCACTCGACCTAAAAATGGAAGAGATGTCTGATATATCCAGCCTGCTAACGATGTTTTCCTTTTCATTAGGGAACTTAAGCATATAGGACGGCAACACGACGACGACGGCAACCAATACAATGAGTCAATGAAAAGAAATAAATAATCAAAGTCCCAGAGGAGTTTCAGACGTGGTCATCGTTCTGTTTACAACGGCGAATCGCAGATTTTCACGTCTTTTATACAACGCCTACATTTCAAGCCATAACAAGTGCAACTTAAAATTCGGTCAGTAGAACTCTCCCCAAACATAAAGCCAATGTTTTCAGCTTCTTATACTGTATTAAATTCATACAAATTATAATATACGACAAGTTTTCTTTACTATCATTTATTTGAAGGAATTTGTTTTGGCCGTCGTCGTCGTGTTGCCGTCCTACATGCTTAAGCTCGCTAATATTATTGAGCACAATACATTTCATGTTACGTATACAGTTCATGACTGGGTTACATGAACC